AATACAATTACTAATTCTCACAATATATATCATCGTTTAATTTTGGTTTGTAGTCACTCACCGCGTTTTGAACTGGATTAATAGTAAAGATTACCAATATAGGATATATGATAAGTGAACATACAGTGTGGCGCAGAACAAAATAATAATCCGATTCCCAGCTAAAAACAAAATATGGAAAATATTATAATATATATCAACATATGGGGGTTTAAATTATCGTTTTTGTGAGACACGTATAATAAATATTTTCATAATGAATTAATATTTGCTAATGTATATATAGATTTTGGTATAACGTTTTATTTTATTTTAAACAAATTATCGTACTTAGTAGAGTCACAGGACTAAATTACCACTAAGAATACACGTCCCTTCTCAAAACCCTGTTATGTATCAACCTACCTAAACGTCATCGTGATCATATTAGCGGATAGTACACAGCTTATCAATGTAACTGTACCAACGGCAATTTCCAAAAAAGGTTATCAATTGAGATATAAGCATGACTTTATTAATTTTCTATAAAAAATTACACGCCATGAATATAAAAGTGAGAGCAGAACATCGCAGTTATTGGTAACATGTCGGAACACTTTACGTCAGAATTCAAATTTGAAAAATGTTTCTAAAAGGCATTTTCCTTCAAAACTAAGATCAGTTGAGTAAGATCAGTTTTGTTTATGAGTTCTGTTATAATGGTCATTCTGGTGAAATAAAATAAATAAATAAATAATAAAAAAAAAATGTGCACCCACATACAAGACAAATATTGCACATAGGGCATATTCATTGATTGAAAAGGTTTTATACCAACGGAGATCGTGAACGAATAGTTCAGAGTGTCATAAAACATAGGCTGAAAAGGTTGCTCTAGTCAAACGCTAAGAAGCTTTACATACAGTTTGAACATTTATTATTGGCGAACCATTCTGCTAAGATTGCCCTTACAATCACTTCTCCTACAAATCTTGGAGTAAAAACTTCGTGAATATCTTACTCACATCAGCTTGAGTCTTGGCTCAACGTTACTATTTGATTTTTTCATATCTTTCGTTTTCATTGCCGATGAATTTGACCTTGAAATTGGGATAACGTTTCGCCGGGAACTGCTTTTTAACTTTCCAGTGATTGTTATGGGGCTGACGGGAACAATTGCTGGGCAAATTTGACAGGCAAGTCACACCTGTACGCTAAAAATATGGACTAATTTGAAAAAACAGTTCTGTCCTGCTGTTTAAACGACAAAGACTGAAAACTTGATTTGTTTTTGCGTTGACGCCACTGGCTAAAACAGTGGTGTTAATATATTTCTTGTCTGTTTGTCTATGTTTCAAAAACAAAAGGTGTTCTATCATTACCATGGCAACACTTGAAAAAATAAGGCTTCTAGCCGGATGGATGTCAATCGTCAACCTAGTTGCATGGGCCGCTGTTATATCACCATTGGTTGATTACTGTCATATGAAAATGTAGGTAAATCTTGCAAGGCAAAATTAAAACAATAACGAAAATATCGCGCCAACACACACATTGACTAAACAATGCCCATATATTATTCTGTATTACGTACCTGATAACTGAGTATGACAATGTATACATTATAATATAAACTTACTAATAATGGCTTTCCCATTGTCATTAACACAGAACAACTATCAAAGTGATTACATTGGCATTCAGCATACTTCCACTCCTCATCCATTCCTTCCCGTAACATAGTACAACCTACTGTACCCCAGATTCTTGAATAAAATGATGTAATGAATAATTGTTAGTGTATAAAATACCCTAAATATATAATATATATCATTAATGTTCCCACAGTCGCTGTGTGATGCTACTACAAGAGTGATTATTATTCTAACAAACAGTGATTAACGTTTGAATACATGCAATAAAACGACTTTACAGAACACAGAAAGTGCATGTAATCTCTTTGCTCAATTAGAAAAAAAAATATACACTCGCGGTAAATATTAACTTCTAACCACCAACAGCACAGAATTTAAAATTTGACACCTATACGTGGTGACTGAAGTAAAGCGCACTTTTTGAGAGGGATGAAATCAATTCTCAAGACTCAGTCACTCCCAGTGGGATATCAGTAGCCATGTACATCTACGGGTTGTTAAATGCAAGCACTCGTGCATGCATGCTTAATTACGAGTAAGATGCAAGTTACAAATCCATATCCATATCGTGCTTCATTGTAAATATATGAGCATTGCGGACAAAGGCCTTCTCTTTATTCTCAATTAAACTTGTTGACTGCAGGTGGCGCTGTTACTTGATGTTTAGACATTGTTTATGATAATATTATTCTTATATCCAAGCATTGTTGCTCCACAAAACAACATCTGTTATTGTAGTACTCTCATCGAAGTGTACACTCTTGTTGAACAACGCGATTGGGGTGGCAGTTGTTGATTTTTGGGAGTGGAATGTGTGGCTGCCGCCCTCTCGTGTCTTAGGATGTGAGGAGTGTCTTTCAAAACAAACAAACAGAATGGCTTCGCCTTCTCGGTGATGTTCCATTTCGTGTTGAAAATATTTCCTTTGATTTTATGAATTTTAGGCGTTTGTAGACTCGTTGTGTTTGAGGATTTGTATTGACAGTAATATTTACTTTGTATTGCAGATTCGATACTTTTACTCATTACAAATTGGGCTTTGCATGTGACATGTTCTTTTGTTTCCATACGCGTCATGTCTGTTTGATGATGCAGAGCATGGAAGCAGTTCTTGTCATGTCACTTTGAATTTCGAATATTTCCGATTATCCCAAGGCTTTAGTTGTCGCCATTTAGGTAAATATGTGCTCATAGTGTATCCGTTTATTTATTACTATTTATTTTGTTATCGATGTTTGAGCAGATCGAACAAACGATCATTTGTAAATTACCTTAATTATAAAATAATAGTGTTGCTGGACGTATTTCATATTTGTATTCGTCTGTATTTTTGAGTTTTTACGGAGCTTGAGATTGTGAATACGATGTTCATGAATGTGATCTGTTTTACCCTACTGCTCGTTTGCTGTATTGTGTTAACCAGTCCTGCACTGTCGCAATAAATCACAACATTCTTGCAGACTTACAGTATGAGTTAATTGCTTCCAACCTTTTAACGCGTACACAGTCTGCTGCACATAATTCCTGATGATCCGGACTTATTGGGGAAATTAAAATGACAGCAAACCGTTTGGCCTCAGATGAGAAATATACGAACACCCCTAGCTCTTTGACCCATTTCATAATAACGAGCCAATAAGAGTGTGGTTAGCCGTGCGGTACGAATATGAGTAATCATTTCTACTTCAAATTCAACTTGAGTTTAGATCAAGTGTAGATCACGTAGCAAAGATGACTTTCTACGTTTACATTATATATCAACTTGAAGATTAAATATGTCGGACTGCAGTGTGATGACATTTATCTTGCCCATTCATGGTAAAAATGTGTGTACGTTGAATCATCGCATTAAATGAAATTGTTGCAATATACAACTCGAGTATGAGAAACTTGCACTGAAAACAAAGCAGTAGTGAGCTAAGGCTGCAATTATACTATTTATTGTAATGCAAAGTAACAGAACATACTCCAATCAACTCACATATATTTTTTAACAAATTACACAAATATACTGTACTCTTTGTGTTTTTCTGCATACTAGTATTGCATCACGCGGCAAACGGCCCAACAGTTTATCAGAACGTTTTATTAAATATTGTATGTATAATATCTGAGAAAATTGTTAATAAATATTCAAGTGAAATAATTAATAAATTTCAAAATCCAATGAAAACAATTATTATATTAGATCGAAACAGATACTTCACAACTTCGATGTTAAAATCTATCCCGATCTATTCTCAACGAACGGACATGCCACCACTATGTGTAATACTGCGTATGGTGTCCGACAGTAGCCATGCTTTAATCGTGGCCTGCTCATTGTGTTAAAATGTACTATAGGGGCCACAATAAAAACAGTTTAGGAGAAGAGAAACAAAAACAGACGTTTGTGTATATATATAAAAAATTTAAATCCATGTTTTTAGGAAGGTAATGAAATATACTGACAAAATATGTTTGTAATTAGCATCAGTGCATCAGGTAACAAAAAGGTTTCCTTACAATTTTGTGTACCTGTAAAATATTCCACATATGCTATACATGTAAAGCATAATAACAAGCTTGTCAGAAACATGTTTTTTGTTGGAAGGGGAAATGTTTAAATGTGGAACATATATGTAATATCATGTTGATATGTTATTAAATAATGATCATATAAATTTCAAAATGTTATTTTCAGTGAAAACTATATCTCGGTGTATGTTTTACTACAGCCTAGCAAGCTAGTAAATGCAAGATATTTTTTTGTTTGTCTTTTTTTTAATTTTCAATTTTTGACAGATTATTTTTTGAATGCGCAATAAATATGGTAATTATGACAATATGATATGGCTATGTGATCCTTCCTATTAGTGTAAAATAGCTGGAATTATTTTACACTGAAAAGACTATTTGGGTGTTAAGTATGGAATTTATTTTAACTAATTTTTACTAAGTTAAATGTAAAATATTAGAAAACAGGTATATTCGCTGAATTTTGTTTTCACTCAATCCTTCAGCGAAAATAGCGAAAATTAATTCTAAGCGAAGATAAAGTATTTTACAGTATTTTTGAGGTTCTTCGACCCACTCCATACTGGTCTGAATGTTATGCATTACCATGTAAATTTATTCTAAAATCACAAAAAAGTAGAAGTAACAGTTTTATGTCAATTATCAGTAAATATTAGGTGTACAGAAAACATTACTGTCACATACTTTTTTTCATTTAGAAAAACATGTCAATTGATAATGATAAAAAAATTTCGAAAGAAAATAATTCACACTGATGATCACAAAGTGTGTACTATTTCATTCATCCACTCGTGTTCGAGGCCGAGGTCATAGGTGAGCTTACATCCGGGTGTTCGATCCTTTCGTGTCGTCCATTTCGACTATGTAAGTTGTGTTTTCAATCTGCTCCTGAATTGAATCGAATCCAGTGCTTTGGGACACCATCCACTTATTCCACTAACATAAACGTCTTCTTTATTTCTTTTAGATTCTTACGATAAACATGAGGGCGAAGGTAATTTTATATTTTTTGAGAAAAAGTCTTTTCAAATTAGAGTGGTGCATGCTCGATATCTGAGTTGGGTTTGTCAAAATACACTAGGTGGACTTAAACACTCCTTGGTGTTGTGCGTTTTGGCTTCGTGCTTTTTCGTGCGGTATAAAGTATACGCATTTTACAACTGTAGAATGTTATATTGGAGAAAAATATTGTTCCCAGGATAATGTCTCTTACGAATGTGACCTCTGTGAAACCATAAACACACCATGGCAACTCGTTAACAATCTCATTTAGCGTAGCTGTAAACAAAAAAAGAACGTGGACTTCATTTAGGTATATTTTTTAGGTGTTTGGACATTTTAGCCTTTTATTAAACTTGTCATATAATTTGTATACTGGCAATCTGTTAAAAGCTTTTAGCTGCAGAGAGTACGTTTGTAATAAAGGCATGCGTACTTTCTTATTTCTAGTAGTCTTTTTATCAGTTTTGGCACTGTAAATGCATTCAGTTCATTCAATTCAAATTAGTTCTCTGAAATTAAACACTGCAATGGTTTTAGCTAAATTGTTCAGTAAATTTATATACCAATTATCGTGAACTGTGATTTGGATACTAAAATCTGGTTAGCATCTTTGGTTTTATAGAGTGACATCATTTAGAAAAAAGTTGTGCATATACTTTGTGCACATAGTTTCCCTTCACTAATGTAGATGATTTGTTTTATCCTTGTCTTGTGTGCTAGGTTGCGTTATTCAGGTCGCATGGTAGGCTATGGCAATATATATGCACAAATTACTAGTATTTTTAGATAAATAACTCCATGACAAGGAAAAACCTCTCCAATGGAAAATTATGTGCAGGTTCAGGTTTTTTCTAGAAAAAATGCAAGAGCACTGCAATTCAGCGGCGTCACCAAGTGGGGGAGATAGGGTTCTCCCTACTAGGGTGTGGAGTTTTTGATAATTTTAAGTTAAAATGAAGCATTCTATGTCTTCCATGGGGCCAACATTACTATCAGACAGGTCAGTTGAAGACGTGTAATCTCTGGTCAATCAGAATGTTATGGTTGCCAGAGGATTTGCTCCTCAGGGTAAGGGGGCACATGGCCATGGCATGAGGGCGCTGTGCCCCTGTTCCCTTGTTTTAAAAAATCCCCGAATCTTACTCTTTGTACATCAGTTCTGATTTCCAGTAATATGTTAGGCCTCTCGTATATATATATCATGTGTATGGTTTATGCCTGATTTAAATACCACTTGTAACCGTAATTTATATTTTGTTCTGTTTCTTTTCTCAGTGGAGGAAGAAACGTATGCGAAGGCGAGTAATAGTAAATGTTTAAAATGTATTATGGTTGAACAAGAGTTTCAATTGGTTCTATGTAATGCGTACTACAGTGATGTGCAAATTGGCCGATCAAGATGAAGTGATATCCAGATTTGTTCTGACCGCCTACATTCTATTTTTTTCTTTTTCAACACTGATGTTTTGTGCATGTTGTAAGTGGATGTGGGTGATGTTCTTTTGCTATGTTCATTATGTTAGGCTTTTCATGTGTGTAGTAGTCTATTGCTGAATGTGTATAATCACAACGTCATGAAAGCAATTGCGTTAGTTGCTTGGGGATGCAAGTTTTTGGAAAAATGTAAAATTATTAAATGCGTTTACCTATTTTTAGACTGAAGCGCAAAAGAAGGAAGATGAGGGCAAGGTCGAAGTAGACTATCATCTTCTCGGCAGTAGACAAGCATCGTGAAACGCGCTGCTACAACACCAACCTGAAATCTACATAAACCTGACGCTTTGAAGACCATGCAAAGACGAATGACCCTGCGAACTGTTTCTTAAAGAAACGCCCAAGGTGGTCTTGCCAATATTTGCGCATGTTAATCGTGTAATAACTAATTGAAATTACAAGCTCCATTCCTTTTCACTTGTCGTCATGACTAGTAAGCGGTATGCTTTGGGATTTTATTCAACATGTCTGCCTGATGTGAAAGACTATGTATTCAGTGCTGTGAACTTGTCCAGCAAACCATACTGTAATTCCAGTACACAGTTTTGAAGATTAAAATGTCTATTGACGATTAGATAAACACTTTCTTTAATTTTGTTTCATTCAAAAAGGCACAAGAGTGTATTTACTCTTACACTAACAGTGGCAGCGATAACGTACAATGTACCTTAGCAATGACGATTACCATTTTCCCCATACAAGTAACTACTTTATGCAAAATTGTCACTGATGTAAAATTCAGTCGGTGGGATGTTAAAGCTTGTAAAGAAATACCCACCTCGTTTGGATTTAATACAATATTTTTGTGATAAATTACATGATTCTATACCAGTATAGGAGGCAGTCGTAATCGCAATTCACCCCGCAACGAAACTGAGGTAACTCGCACTACATGTTTATGCACTGTGCTTAAAATGCGTAAATACATTATATGGCAGTGATTACTTACTTCAGGGGAAGTATCATTATATTCTGCAGTCATATGCTTTACGCATGGGTATTAGGTTATCAAGCTGTTTTATATACTCTTGTTTGTGTTGGATTTGAAGTTGACATCATTATGTTGGTGCGACGAGTTGTACGAATAATTTTTTGATTTATGACAAAGAACTTTTCAAAATAGGATATTTTTTCCAAAGGTATATAAACAAAATTCTCATCAACAATATCTGTGAAAAAAGCAGACTATAATTGAAACTATTTTGTTGATTGTGCCTGGAGTCGATGATTACTATTTATTAACCATGTACTGTGGCGGGATTGTCAGTATATATTCGGAATTCAAAATCGAAAAAGGGAAAGCTACACAAACTAGCAGGACAGACCTGATGACCGGAAGTTTTCAACTTCAAGTTAGAAAAAAAATACACCTGCATATGGGACACGGTGCAAGAACACATTTATCTTTCTGCATATATCTTGATAGCTATCATTGCTGCTGTCAGAAATAACAAAGGCCTTCTTTCTTCTCAATTAAACTTATTGACTGCAGGTGGCACTGTTACTTGATGCTTAGGCATTGTTTATGATAATATTATTCTTGTATTCAAGCATTGTTTCTCCACAAACCAGCACCTGTTGTAGTACTCTCATCGAAGTGTACACTCTTGTCGAACAACGCGATTGGTCTGACAGTTGTTGATTTTTGGGAGCGGTATGTGTGGCTGCCACCCACTAGTGAATACTTCTGTCTTAGGATGTGAGGAGTTTTTCAAAACAAACAGAATGGCTTCACCTTCTTGGTGATGTGCAATTTCGTGTTGAAAATATTTTATTTGGTTTCATGAATTTTAGGCGTTTGTAGACTCGTTGTGTAATGTTTACTTTGTATTGTGGATTCGATACCTATACTCGTTACAAATTTGGTCTTTGCATGTAACATGTCCTTTTGCATTATCGCCGTTTGATGATGCGGGACATGGAATCAGTTCTTGTCGGTTACTTTGTATTTCGAATATTTCCGATTATCCCAAAGGTCGCCATGTAGGTAAATATGTGCTCCCAGTGTATCCGTTTATTTATATTTTTTTCGATGTTTGAGCAGATAGAACAAACGATCATTTATTGAATTGTTCGACATTTTAAGCTCATCTTAATTATAAAATAAGTGTTGCTGGACGTTATTCATATTTGTATTCGTCTGTATTTTTTAGTTTTTACGGAGCTTGAGATTGTGAATACGATGTTCCTGAATGTGATCTGTTTTACACTACTGAACGTTCGCTGTATTGTGTTAAGCAGACCTGCACTGTCGCTATAAATCACATCTACAGTATACACAACTCTCCTAGACTTGTAAAGTAAAGCTCTTAGTGATACAGTACGAGTTGATTGTTTCCAGCCGTTTAACGCGTACTTCCGACAACTAATAAACAGACGGGCAGCGCTATTGTTCAGAGGCGTCAATCGGCGAACGTTGTCTCGGCTACACTGGTGGCCCACGTTTTGCCGAATGGCGAGTAACACACACATTGAGAAACAAGAGAGTGACTTAGAGTTTTTCTAGAATAGATCACGTCGCCATGTTTACAACAAAGCAGGGCTTATATTATTGAATTTTGCCGATTAGGTATTAAAAAGCCTTTGACAATATGATACATCAGGGTAAGAAGTGTACTAGCCAAGTAAATCGAGGAAAAATTTAAAATTGTCATTACTTGTCTGAGCGCGTACCCAACGTCTGCTGCACACAAGTCCTGATGAATCGGACATATTGGGGCAATTAAAATGACAGCAAACCGTTTTGTCTCAGATGAGAAATATACAAACACCCCTAGCTCTTTGACCTAATTCCTAATAACGAGCCAATAAGAGTGTGGTTAGCTGGGAGGTGCGAATATGGGCAATCATTCCCACATCGAATTCAAACTTGAGTGTAGATCAGAATATACGTAGCGTAGATGACTTTTACGTTTACATTTTATACCAAGATTAAATATGTCAGGCTGTTGTGTGGTATCTTGCCCATTCATGGTAACATTGTAAGTTTGTTGAATCATCGCATTGAATGAAATTGTTGCAATACACAATTCGAGCATGACAAACTTGCCCTCAAAACTAAGCTGTCGTTAACTATGGCTGCAATTATGCAGATATTTCCTTTGAATTTGTTGGAAACAGAATCATCAGTTTAACGCATCATGCGTTAACTATTCAACTGTTTTCACATGCGGGAAAACGTTCTGTCCTGGGTTTGTCAATTTTTTTTTCGTGAGGTCGATAGATTTCTGAAATTTAAACCGACCTTTGGGTTACTTCTTCATCGCGCTTCATCGCGATGAAGTTCTGTGACCAAAAGCAGATACAGTGCTCTGAGTTTGCTGTACTTTACCCCCGGAAACTACATGTTTGAAGAAGGGCAAAATAATGCAAAATATGCTCAAGGTATGCTCGAAGACATTACAGCTGGAGTATCGACCGACGCGCAGCGCAGGTCGATGCGACGGCGTACTGTCTGAGTGCACACTTTCAGGTATTTTTGTAATTACATTATTATAAATCTTTTTCTTCCATAGATACATCAAGGGAATTTTAGTTTAGAACAGAATCACATAGTTTGAGTTACTGGTGGCAGCCAAGTTTGTTTTATTAGAGGACGATTACGCGCATAATCATTCCATATTTAGAATTCGCATTTCCTTATATAGTAGGATGAAAATACCCTGTAAAACGCCGGACAAATTAGGGCACGCTCTAACTTATGGCGTTACGGTGACAGATGTATTTGTTTTTAACTCGTACTATTTATTGTAATGCAAAATAACAGAACATAAACCGATAAACTCGCATATATTTTTAAAAAAAATACACAAATACACATACTCTTTGTGTTTTGTTGCATACTAGTATTCCATCACGTGGCCAACAGCCCAACAGTTTATCAGAACGTTTTAATTAATGTCATATAATAGTGTATGTATGTCTGTGCAAATTGTTAATAATTAATATTAATATTTGACAGAAACAGATACTTCACAGCACGAGTAAAACACATCCGGTAAAATTAAAACAACTTGGATTACACACGCAGAACAACTGAAATATTCAAATTAATCAGAAATTGTCGAGGTGTTGGGAACAAATTACAACATTAATTACCTCATAAATGTAAAATTTAAAAACATAAATGTTCATAACTTTTAGCACAAATCTAGGGATTTTTGACACATAAGGGGAAAAAAGATAAATATATTTGTTATACACATCTCAAAAATATTCAAATATTTTCTGCATAAAATTACATAATTAACATTTGTGCATATGACTCAACACACCACGATTGGAGAATTCAAGTTCAATGTTGTATTTATGCTAATACTGGCCAGTCATGTAAAATAGTTATGTATCACACCTGTTTCGGTCGTCGCCAATGTACCTTAGACGGAAATGGCAATCGAAATCTCATTGGGAACGAAATAGACACGCAAATAATATTCAATTCTCTTCCATTCCCAGCATATGCTGTTCCTTGAGCATGGTGTTTGGAACAGATGACGTAAATAGTCCCGTGGATCTAATGATCTCGGCGGCCTCTTGTGACAATGCTCGTTAAATTATGCGCAATAATCTGCATAACGTTAATGTTATGTTTGAATACATTTATATATCATAATCGTCGACGTTATTTTCATCATACTGGTTTCTTCTGGTATAATGTGTTTCATGTTCTATTCTTTTTGCCTGGAATAACAATCAGGAGAGAAAACTTACTTAATGGTACAATATTGATCTGTTTTATGTTCGTCGTCGTCACTTAGAAAAAATACAAATGTCAGCTATCTTATTAGCCTGTGATGTTACTGTAAACTTACTTATTAATTGTTCTTTCAAATAATAACGTCACAAAGCAACAATTTACTGGTTGCATACGTTTACTACTATTTTTACGCCGATATAACACAACTGTATATTCGATTCCACAATGCATGCATACTTCGATGCATACCAAGCGTCACATATTGCATTGGTAATATAATCTGAGTGCATTCTGGGTTAGCCATCTTTTCCCTGTGATATCCGGTGTTACATATCGAACCTTGGGAAGCGTATTAGAGGTACTTGGTTAATAACAAAAAAGTTGAATTCACCTCAGTAAATATTGTAGTTATTACATTGGATGTTGTTGCTGCTGCCACCGACTTCCTTAGTTTTGCTTCGTCTTTTAATCTCTGTATTGTTTTCATATGCACACTGTTTTCTTTACGTATAGCCCATCTTGCTGCTTCAATTGTCTGGAATTCGCTCCAGGCATATTTATAGTCGACGTCATTCGAAAACACCTTTATGTCTATACCTCTAAGTACCTGGATACAAAAGTCGCACTACAACTATTATACTCAGTTGATGCATCGCATATTGAAGGTGTCTGACTTTTTTTTTAATTTAGCTCATAATCATTTATATTTGTAAAAGACTACGAACACTTCAAGAAAATATGAATATGTTATTAATAACCTACTTCACTGCGGGTGAAAAAGTAGCATAATATCACAACTGAACCCTGAAAAAAAAGAGACGTTAATATTATAACAATTCGGGATGTAACAAAATGTGCGTAACGTACACGCGTTATGTTTTCTA